CTGCGGAGGAGCGGTCACAGCGGAGCAGCCTGCCTCCCGCCGGCGCCTGCGGGGTGGACACTGAGCGGGAGGAGGACTGACGCTCACCCAGGAGAGGCCCCTGAGTGGCCGCCGGGAAGCTCACAAGTCCACTGACAACTGGAACCGCTTCCTCTTCGTTTCCATCGCCGGAGAACCACAGGTTTCTGCGTCTGAAGTAAGGCTGCCTGGTTTCAATGTAGCTGCTCGGGCCGGCCGCGCGGCTCCGTGGTTGAGTGTTGACCTATGAACCAGGAGGTCAGGGTTCAATTCCCGGTCAAGGCACATGCCCAGGTTGCAGGCTCCATCCCCAGTGTGGGGCATGCAGGAGGCAGCCAATCAGTGATTCTCTCTCATCATTGATGTATCTATCTCTCCCTCTCTGAAATCAATAAAAAATATGTATTTTTAAAAAATCTGTATATAAAAGCTAAACGTAGTCTATTCTTTCCCCAAAAATGATTTGAAACAAAAAAACTTCTCAGACTCACTTTTCAAAAGATTTGCGAAACGCATCCATGGGAACATGTCACAGAAACGTCCTTTGCGGTGAGAGCCTGGGCGGACACACACTGCGTTTCTCCTTCGTCCTCTGTCCAGCTCAGAACCGGGCCTCGGCCATAAACAAGCAGCTGCCCTTGAAAGTCAGATGTTCTTTTCTTCCCGCACGTGTCCCAGATGCTCTCTCACCCCCTCAGCCCGCCCCGCCAGGGGGAGCAGAGCCCCGCTTTCCAAGGCGGCTGGGCTGCGTCCAGCTCCGAGCGCATCGCTAACGGCCTGTGACGTGCAGCTTCAGTCACACACGCTATCTCGCCGGGGCCAGCGCGGCTGTGAGAACATCCCCTGCCGACGTGTCCAAGAGCCCGGTCCTTGGCTGCCGCGGTTCCGAGCGCCCAGAGCCCCGTGATGAATGACGCGGACGCTCAGAGCAATGACCTCGTTCAGCGGCGCTGCGGGCCCAGCTGCTTGCATTGGGGAGCCTTCCCCCCCACCCCCCAGCCTCGCAGCATCTGGCCCCTGGATGACTTCAGAGCCACCGGAGAGGAGAGCGTTGTCTGACCGAGGGCCACCTCTCGAATTTCCCAGGAAGCAGACAGGCCTTTCAGCCGCTGGCGTCTCGTGATGTGACGTTGGTGCCGTGTGTCGCTGTGAGCGTTCGGCCCAGGGACACGCAGTGGCAGCCAGAGAGCGCCTCCTGCACGGCCAGCGTCAGCGCCACCTCCTCCCGGGCAGCAGCGCTGGTTTCTAGCAGATCCATGTATTTTCCCCACAAGTGCGTTCCTTTTTCCACGCTCCCCGGCCTGTTTCGTAAAGTTCTCTTTCCTCGTTTGGGCATTTTACTCTTGTTTGTGGTTAATCCTCACCCGATAATATTTTCCATTGATTTTTAGAGAGAGTGGAAGGGAGGGGGGAGACAGAGGGAGAGAGACATCGATGGGAGAGAGACACATGGATTGGTTGCCTCCCGAACGCACCCCGACCAGGGCCTGGGATGCAGCCTGCAACCGAGGTATGTGCCCTTGACCGGAATCGAACCCGGGACCCTTCAGCCCGCAGGCCAATGCTCTGTCCACTGAGCCAAATTGGCTAGGGCTTCACTGGGGCTTTTTAAAATCAACTTTCATAAACTAAAACCCGCTATTAGTCCCTGTAAACTGGAAACCTCGTTTCCTAAAGAACTTGTCAGGGAAGGAGAATGCAAGCCCCCCGCCCCCGAGAGGGGCAGACCTGCCTGTGTGACCCGCGTGGGGGTCCAGGAGGACGCGGGCTGGGGCCATGGGAGGCGGGGAGCACATGGCAGCAGCGATGTTGATTGTGAATCCACCTGCGGGGGTTGGAAATAGCCCCCCCCCCCCCGCAAACCGCACTGGTCCCCCTCGCTCAGCCGTCACGTGTTGTGGCTGCCGGTGACACCCCGCCAGGCTCTCGGACGGAGTCTAATCCTCCCCTGCGTCCCGGTGCCGACTTCCCGATCAGGGTGCGAGCTTCCCGGCACCGTCTGTTTCTGCCACTGCCCGTCACACGCCAGGAAACAGGAGTGGTGGCAGGAATACTGAATAACGAGGGATTGCCCTGTGGGTATGTGAGCCCCAATTCCGCTCGAAATAGCTGTGTTACTGCTTCAAACTCTTTCTCCCGGACTGTTTGGGTGCTGAAATGCTGCCTCCTTTTCCAATTTAAGGATGTTTCGATAACCCAGCCGGCATGGCTCAGCATTGACCTATGAACCAGGAGCTCACAGTTCGATTCCCAGTCAAGGGCACATGCCTTTGATCCCCTGTAGGGCGTGTGCAGGAGGCAGCCAATCAATGATTCTCTCTCATCATTGATGTATCTATCTCTCCCTCTCTGAAATCAATAAAAAATATATATATTTTAAAAATCTGTATATAAAGGCTAAACATAGTCTATTCTTTCCCCAAAAATGATTTGAAACAAAAAACTTCTCAGACTCACTTTTCAAAAGATTTGTGAAACGCATCCATGGGAACATGTCACAGAAACGTCCCTTGCGGTGGGAGCCTGGGCGGGACAAACACTGCGTTTCTCCTTCGTCCTCTGTCCGGCTCAGAACCGGGCCTCGGCCATAAACAAGCAGCTGCCCTTGAAAGTCAGATGTTCTTTTCTTCTCTCTCTTTCCACAGGGGACTCATTACGTTTGAAAATAAAAGCTACGTCCTAGAGCCGATGGACAATGTAACCGACAGATACAAGCTCTTCTCGGCCGAAGCCCTGAAGGGCATCTGGGGGTCGTGCGGGTCGCATCCCAGCACCTCGGGCCCCACTGCAGGCGGCGGGCGCCCACCGCCCTCCCGGACGCGGGTGAGAAGGGGAGGCGGGAAAGCAGAGGGCGTGATTCTGGGGACCCTGGGCCCCAGCGAGGGACACCCGGTGCTGGGACATCTGAGGGCATTTTCCACTGGGGTTGTGGCCGGGGATAGAGTCGCTGGCCTATCTGGAGGCGGGCGTGTCTGTGGACGGAGCCCCAGCAGACACGGACACCTCCAGCCCCCACCTGCCGGCCCCTCTGCGGGAGGTGCCACGTGGAGGCTCCTGGTGTCGGTCTGCTTTGCAGTCGGGTGTTTGCGATGACCTGCAGCGCACTCCCAGTCCTGCCCACCTGCCGGGCAGAGGTGCCCTGGGTTGGCCCGTGGGGCGTGGCTAAGAGGTGTCGCTCCCTGAGTCTGCCCAGCTGGGGCCTGTCCTCTCCTCCTGGACTGTCTGTGGGGCCCTGCGTCTGCTTCTCAGAGGTCCCCCCCTTTACACAGAACTGGAACGATCTCTCCCCGCCCAGTGGACAGAAGTGGACCAGCTCCCCCAGGGGCAGCGCCCTAAAACCTCCCCAAATGGCTGCTGACCCTCCTCATCCAGTTTCCCCTGGGTCCACAGGGCGCGGGACACTCTCAAAAATGAGGGGGTGCCCGGCCACATGGCTCAGGGGTTGAGCGTCGACCTATGAACCAGGAGGTCAGGGTTCGATTCCAGGTCAAGGGAACAGGCCCGGGTTGTGGGATTGATACCAGTAGGGGGCGTGCAGGAGGCAGCCGATCCATGATTCTCTCTCATCATGGATGTGTCTATTTCTCTCTCCCTCTCCCTTCCTCTTTGATATCAATTTTTAAAAAATACTTTTTAAAAACAGTGGGAGTCCCCAGGCCAGCCAGGCATGTCTGTTTCCCTCGTGGGCCCGCCTTCCTTTGATCCCAGGCCTCAGGGCGGATGCGAGGCGGCCGTGGCCCTGTCAGTCATGAGCAAGGAGGACATTTGCATGTATCTATGGAGGTGCTTTGCTCTGAGTATCTTGTTGAACCCGTGTCGTCCGCGTGGAGATTTACGACCTGACGGTTGAAATGACACCCCAGTATGTTCGGCGTCTCGCGTGGACGGGCGTGCGTGGGCCCTGCTCCGGCCGGATCGTCATTTTGTAGCTTATCTGAGCTCTCTCGGCCGTGATGGGCACAGTGGCTCCCGTCACCTCGAGGTGCAGGGCGGTGCGGAACCCCGGATGGAAGTGCTGTTTGGTTAACAGCGCATGCGGACAGGAAAGGGGCCTGTACACAGAGCCAGGAAGGCCCCTGCGGCGTCCGCCTCATTCTCCGCGTTTCTCTCTGGAAAGCGTTGTGGTTGTTGTTTGTGGAAGAGGAAACGGCCTTGACTTCACGTGCCATTAGGTAACAAAAGCAATGCGAGGAGTCATTCTCGGCAAGTGGAGCGTTTGGGACGGGAGTGTGTGCCCGAGAGCCGGGCGGCCCCTGTGGGAGCAGGACAGGCGGCCTGGGCTTCACACTCGCCAGTCGGTGCGGCTGCAGCTGAAGAACTGACCTTGTGGACACAGGGCAACAGCCGCCCGGCCTTTTCCCGGAGCCGCCGGCCCCGCGATGGGGACTGGCAGAGGCTGGTCTGCAGGCAGAGTCTCCCCAGAGTTCGCATCTCCCCTCTCGGAGCAGCAGGGCTCAGGCCGGGCTCCGGGTCCGCTACACGGTCCGATCTCTGCCCTGCGGGTTTGTGAGCCCGAAGAGCCCCGCCCAGGGCCTCCTGCCACTCGCCCCTCCCGCCCCCCCAGCCAGCCTGCGGGAAGGGGCCGCACCCCTGCTGCCGGCACCATCACACGGTGCATCCCAGAGGCAAATGTGCCTGTTTTTGAATGGCCCTTCCTTAGGGATTGTCTGTGCTGCTTCCCCTTCGTTCCTGGGGAAAAGATGCGTCACATGGAAGCGCCAACATCGTCTTTCTCCAGGAGGCGGTGCTGCATGCTCTGTGTCTCTGGCTCTATTATGTCCATCAGCTTATTTTGTACAAACAGGAGGGTCAGAGTGACAGTTGTCTCCCCAAGCGCAGCCGCCGGGAGATGGGCCCGCGGCTGCACTGAGCATCTGGATGGGCCGTAGTCTTCAGCGGACGCCCCGCTAGTGCTGCGGCCGGAACCGCGGTGATAATGTGTGTGCATGCGGAGCTGAGCGATGGCTGTATGTCAGGAACGGGCCGGAACCCTTCGAAGACCCCCTGAGCATGGCAGGCGCGCCGAATCCCTCCCTCACGGCCACCTTCGCTTCCGGTTAAGGGATCGCTCCACGCTCCCCCACTGCCGGGTTGGCCCACCTCCGGCTGGAGAGCAGCCAGTCCTGCCGCTGCCTTGGCCTCCGGCTCAGGATCTCAGCAGCGTGAGCGGAGCTTCCAAAATCTGCAGGTGTGGGTTCTGCTGTCATTTTTATTTAAATCTTCGTTGCTGGAAGTATCACAGATGTCCCCCTTTTCCCCCCATTGGCCCCTTCTAGGCCCGTACCCCATCACCCCAGGGCTTCACCACACTATTGTCTGTGTTCATGGGTTATGCATATATGCATACAAGTTCTTAGTTA